TTGTATATGTACCTTGGGTACATATACTTAGGGGGCAGTTTGGTCTTGATGCTCTAGGCACGCAAGTCCAACCGTTCCAAACTCCGCCAGCATCCGGAACCTTCGTGCTAGAGCCCAAGAACATCAAAACACCAGAACTTAGTACATCTTAGTCCCAATCCGGAACCTCAAACACCTCATCCAAACTCGTAAGCACAGGAAGTAACCGTAGCGTTCATGAAAAACACTATTCACCACAAACATGTTGCTTATGTTGAAAACGAGACCGTGCCAGAAACGAACAAACCGACACCCCCCTCAAAAAACTCAATCATGCTAGAAACCCTAAACCCTCTAAACCCTATAAACCCCCTAAACCCTCTAAACCCCGTAAACCCCCAAAAAACCCATAAACCCTATAAGCCCTATAAAAACCCTATATAAAACCCCTAAACCCTAAGCCCTATAAAACCCTAAACAAACCCTGAAAAACTCTAAAAACCCTATTAAAAACACCAAAAACCAAAAAAGCACCAACAACCCCCAAAAAAAAACAATAAAAAACAATAAACCCTATAAGCCCTACAAAAACCCTATACAACCCTATAAACCCTATAAAACCCCATAAACCTGTGGGCCTCTGGGTGCCTCTCCTTGAGGCCCTCGGCGATGCGGCGCATGGCCGGCAGTGCAAAGCTGTTGAAGTTTTCCTCAGGGGATGGCAGACTGGTGTACGTCGTGCGCTTTTTAGGGTTTAGGGCTTTCTTGAATATATGCACATGTGTTTATGCACATATGCGTATGCACGTAACCACATCATATACATAAGACATACTTATGTGCAACCCTACTTAACGTCAGCGCCCCCTACCGAAATCTGAACACATATATGCATTCATACGCACATTGACAGTATGCGTGTGTTCGTCGTTGCTACCTTCTCTTGTGTTGTCTACGCGCGAATATGCCTGCTTGCTTTATCGGGGCCTGGTGGGCTAGGGTTCCAACATCATTCCAGAGGGTTCCTTTATGAGGGCTGGGGTCGCGATGCAGCGAGCACTATGCATATAACTTCTGTCTTATGTGCAAAAGCGACCCCGATAGCAACATCCTGCAAAATCCACGCGCCCTGTACTTCGACGATGCGTCCAAATCTAAGCCGTGGAACGGGACTTATGTGCTCGCCCATCGCTTCGAAAACCTGGAGTACCTGAAAGGCTCAGGTGGGCTTCGGGTTTAGGTTTGCATTTTGGGGCCCTTCCTCCCCCCGCGCAAGTATCCTTCTGCTGCAAGGATTAGGGGGTTTAGCTTTTTTTTTGGTGGTTTAGGGCTTGCAGGGTCTAGGCTTCTAGGTTGGGGTTTAGAAATTAAGGTTTGAAAGCTTATGGCTTTTCCTTATACCCAAACAAAGCCCAAGGAAGCTAAAGAACCCGTCAGTGTCTCAACAAGTGCCCGTCAAAATGCCAGCTCCAGAGCACAGAATGCTTTGCAGAATTCGACGGCATTGTGAAGTCTCTCTCGTCACTAGTTCTTTTTATTTCCAGGGTTGTATGAACGTGTAGGTTTCCTGGGTTCCACTTAACTCCACCAGTTGTAATGTCCACGCTGCCCTTAAGATGCCCCTGCCGGTGTAAACGAATGCAATTCTACAGTGCAAAGCCAGCCAGCATTGCAAACAGTACCCAGGACTTGCAAGTCACGAAAGGAAGACTGTCGACACAAGGAACATCACGGCCTGCAGGAAACATCGCTGATGCCGAAACACATCTCAAGAACCGAACTCCTAAATCCTGAACCTCAAGGAGTCTTGGAGCCTCAACACCGACATAATCCCAAGCAAGTTGAGCAGCTGAGCACTGCAATGCTCCTCAACAGACACCGAACGCTGGCACAAGAACAACTACAGCAACAGGACGTTATAAATTATAAACCCTAAACCCAAAACCC